TTTTCAAACAGTTATAAAACACAGCTACAGCCGGGTAGCAAAAGAAACCTTATAAGGAAAATAAAAGTATCCTGACACTTTTGAAACTTTACTTCATGGTTTTGCACAGGTGCAATCATTTATATATGGTTAAAAACTATAGTATCATTATTACATCAGTAAGAAATTAAGTAAGTGTTTGTTTTGGAAATGAGGTCACTAGTTACAAAATACAGTTGTGTGACAAGAGCCATATTTGGAAAACCGATCAAACGCCTCCATGCAAAGGGGGAATATCTTCTGTCAGCACTTTTAATTGATTTAACGATTGTGTAATTGCAAACGTTTGCAGTTGCGTTCAACTTCAACCCTGAAACCTAAGTGGCTCTTAATCCTCGTGTATCAAGTAAATGTTGCTGTGCAAATGTCTCTTTTCAGCTATTTAATTTTAAAGTCTCGTCGTCAAAGTAAACACTTAGAGTTGACGAGAGTGAGATTCGAATTGCAAATTTACGGGCCCAAACAACACTGGACAGTTCAGTTGTATAAGTTATCCAGGTAGTTAGTAAGATCGTGATGCTTTCTCATAGCTACTTTAGTTATCAAGAGCTTCATAGTTTTGTCTAGCGACCGTTCATAAATTTTCTGCTCCGTGTTTCCGTTGCAAGTTAATTTAGTACGAACTTCCAGCATCACATGTTACCATATACGGGCATGAAAATGTTCACTATACAAGGTCTTCAAGCGGTTTGGTTGTCAGTCGATGTTGTGAAAAACGCACGAATTAATTGGCACTGTACATGTTAAAGCATGTCAGGCTGTTTACCATTCAAAACAAACGAGAAATCTCCCTTTTTCCTCGATCGAAGTGCGCGAGCGAATATAATAATAAGGTGTCAAATTAGATTTGCACACAAATTTGCATAAATGTCAGCGTGGTGTTTTTTGCGAATAACTTCCGAGAATTTGCGAACCTTAACATAGTTTATGAAGAAATATTCAAGTTACATTATTTTTACTGAATCAAACGAAAAAGTTAGGAACATTTTTACAAAAGGAACTCATTTATATTGGAAAACATTTTACTTACGGCGCGCGTCGAGTTTAGTCATGTCACGCAACATGATTTTGTTCAGACAGGATCAGACAGACACAGTTTGCTAAAACAATTCGTCATTCCTAAGTGTGTTTGAATAACTAGGGAAAAAGATTTCGCTAAATTTCATGAATGGAGAATTTCCTTAGTGTAGGACTTAGCAAGAACACTTGAAATTGAAAGTTGATCCATCAAAAGATTGCACAATCCCGCACAATTTCTTATTTGCCTCAAAAATCCTGCGTAATTTAAATTTCTTTTTTCCGGAACCCTGTCAGAAGACCAGCATATATAGTATTCTTACTATCAGTTGTATTTCATAGACTGAAAGCTTCCAAAATAAAGTTACAGTTCAGAATACAATGAATGGTATCACACCTAGAGTATGTCTATAAATCACCGAGAGGATGCCCCTCTACTAGGTTCGATTTGCACCGCTCTCTC